GCTGTTGAAATAACTCTAAAAAACACCTGATTACAAACTTAACAGTTCTTACTTTGTTGGGATTTCTAAAATCAGATTTGCAAGTTTCTTTAATTCCTAAGAGTAATGGGAACTCTGAAGAACATTTAACATATCCGATTTTTTAGTATGAAGGATATGGGTTAGATATCATATATTAAATTATTTAAGATCTTTTAAAATTTGTTAAAATTTGGACTTCAAAGAGTGAAGAATATAAATCTAGAAATGAGACTATATATTTCAAGACGAACACTACATAGTTTATAGCAGTCTTGTAAGTTTGGAAGATAAGTCTGGAGAGTTGTTTATTAAGTCTGAAAAGTAACTCTAGATTATAAGTCTGGAAAATGGATTACCAGATTTATGGGAGAAGTTTCTGGAGTTTAGACTTGTAAGTCTTAAGTATAGAAATCCAGAAATGAGATATGTTTGGAAAAGCATATTGCATAGTTAAAGCTTCTACGGTAACACTAGTAGGTCTGCTAGAAACTCTGAAATGGAAAAAATTTATAACAGAGTTGTAAGTTTGGAGAAGAATTCTGAGGAGTTATATTCTAAGTTTGGAAAATAAATTAGCATTCTAACTTCCGGAAACAGAATACTGGAGGTGTGGTGTAATATGTGCCATTCAGACTTGTAAGATTGAATAAAAGAAATCCATAAATGAAGTATGTTCGTAAAAGCATACTGCATAGTTCAACCTTGTACATTCATTCTTACCATAACAAAGGGACGACCATTATTCATACTTATAATTCAGTAAAATAAGTGTGGGAAGTAAGTGGTTTAATCTGGGAAACGATAGTTCAGAGTTATTTTATAAGTCTGCGAATAAATCCGAATTGAGATTACTTTAGACTTCTAATTTCGGTTGAGTCAATTCTTGAAAATGACTCTTCAGACCTATACACTGGAAATTTAACTCGAAATGGTAAGTTTGATTAGTTCTACTTTGGAGCTGTCTTATAAGGATGAAAATTAAATGCACATTATAATTGTGGAAAACAACATACCAGAGTTGTCTTATAAGTTTGTAAAACAGCAGGTCAGATTTCTCTTCTAAGTCTGGAAAATATTCCCACATTATAACTCTAGAAAACAAAATACCATAGATGTCGAGAAACTCTGTAGTGAACAGAGTTCTATCTCTGAAGAGTATAATTCTAGAGATGAGAAATGTTTGGAAAAGTAGACTGCATAGTTGAAGTTTCTACATTGATCATTACCATAACAAAGGAACAACCATCATTCATACTTATAATTCAACATTATTCTAAATTGACATTACTTCAGACTTCGAAGTCTGAATCTAAATATTCAAAGCTATATTCTGATTGAGCATTTTGGTTCTACTATGAAACTAAATCCCATTTAATAGGGAAATCAGTTAAGACATGGGAAAAAATTAATTATTCAATTAATGGATTTAAAAATAGTAATTAAAACATGGAAGGAAGAGAGTATGATACAGGCACAATTCGATGCAAGTTGGAAAGGGCATAAACTTATTCAAACTTTAGGGGGTCATTTCAATCATCATTTTCAAAACTCTATATATATCACCTATATGTGGCCTTACGATTTCCAATACATCCCATCCCACATCCAGTCTCTCTCTCTCTCTCTCTCTCTCTTTCTCTCTCTTTCTCTCTTTATATATATATATATATACACACATATTTATCTGTATCTGCAGATTAAGCATACATGAAACAATATTAGGGTTTATAGGAAGAAGAAGAAGAAGAAGAAGAAGTCAATGGTCTGTTCAGAGAATGAGACAAGTAGTGGTTTGTGAGGGATGTTGCATGGCTCGATGCATGCACTCCTTTTCTTATGATATTATATAGATGGGTGATAGCATCAGACCAGGCTTCATTCATTTCAAATCCTTTTGTAATAATCCCATGGCTAATAAGGTATTACCGAAAGAGTTAATATCAGAAAAAACTAAATGTTTAATATTTATATGTTCTTCATTTGTGTAACTCTTTTCAACTTTCCTTTTTGGTGTTCTTTTAAAGATGTTTGGTTTTTGTGGGTTTTAGAGACAAAAGGAAGGAGATGTGCAATTTTTGATTATTAACTTCAATATATATATATATACACACACACACACTAAACTGCTCCATATAATTTTGGAACACATTTTCCATATGAACTTGTCTTAATTTTCATATATCTATACTACTTTATAAACCAAATTTTATGAAACTCTTAAAAACAATTTTTAATGCATAAGGGAAATAGATTTATGCATAAAGACTTAAAAGTCTTAAAATCAAGTCATAATGCATAATATAGAAGTTGTCAATGTACCAAATTGCAACTCGGAATTTACTTTCCCAAGAGGCCGCTCCCATCCTATTGTCCTAAGACCCAAGTCGACGATTCACAAATTGATGTTCCCTAAGATGTCGATTCAATTTCCAATGTGAGATGCATGCTTCAAAACCATTCTTCATTCGATTAGTGATAGGTTTTTTTAGACGATTAGGGTTTCGCTTAATCTTCTTTGGATTTGAGATTAGTACTTACCATATTTCGGTTATGAAGAAAACTTAAAGGTACTATAAATGCTATATTTAATATATTTTGTAAAATTATCACTTAAAATAACATATGTTACTACCATTTTATCCAAAGGATGTTATTTCATGTACGATTGTGGAGTTCAGACTTTTAAGTATTAAGTATAGAAATCCAAAGATGAGATATGTCTGAAAAAGCATATTGCATAGTTCAAGCTTCTACATTAACATCTTCGGGTCTGCTAGAAACTCTGAAAACCAAGACTTTATAGCAGTGTTGTAAGTTTGGAGAAAAAGTATGAGGTGTTTTATTCTAAGTCTAGAAAATAACTCCACATTGTAACTCTGTAAAACAAAATGCAGGAGTTGTTTGATAAGTCTGTGGCGTTCAGATTTGTAAGTTTGAATAAAAGAAATCCAGAAATGAGATATGTTTGGAGAAGCATACTGCATACTTGAAACTTTAATATTCATCATTACGATAATAAAGAGACGACCATTAATCAGACTTATAATTTAACAAAATAACTCTGGTAAATAAGTCCTTTGATATGGGAAATCATAGTTTAGAGTTATTTGATAAGTCTTGAAATAACTCTGAAGCTATTCTCTACAGATTTCAGAGCTGTGTGTATAGGCAAGACAAAAGTTGTGCGTGCACTATGCGAATAAATGTTATATTTCTTGAAACAACTCTAAGAATGAATCTGGCAGGCAATACTTAAGAGTTGCTTTCTACGGTTAAAAGTTCTTTTTAAAATGTAACTCCGAAAAAATAGAGTTCGGTAGTCTTCTAAGTCTGAGAAATGAGTAAAAATACATCTAAGCCCAATAGTTCAGAGTTCTATACTAAGTATGTAAGATGAGTTCGAGAAAACATTTGAAGCACAACAGATTACAATTGTCTTGTAAGTCTGAAAAATAACTCCATATTGTAACTCTGCAAGTTAGTCGGAAGTAAAAATTTTCATACTTGACACCCCTACATAGGCAAGGCAGAAGGTCTGCATGGACTGTGCATAAGCTAGGGGTGTAAACAATACGAGACAACTCGCGAGCTACTCGAGATCGACTCGGTTAAAGCTCGGTCAACACTCGACTAGAATAGGCTTGGTCGAACTCGAACTCGACTCGATATATTACGAGTCGAGCCAAGCTACCCAATACTCGACTCGAAAAGTTTGTGAGATACTTGATGATTTTATATATAATTAGTTTTAAAATACAATCAGTTTTTAAAATAGAATTTGTAAAATATAAATAATAAAAATGTCGTATATTTTTAGTTATTTAAACAAAATTATGCATTTTTTAATTACAAAAAATAATCAATTATTTTCTATTAAAATCACAATTAAAAAAAGACAAAGAAAAACTATAAAAAAAGTTAGTGAAATTGTCCTACATTGGAAGAGAGATGGTAAAGGAATGGAGAAAAGATGTTATAAAAAGAGAGGAAGATGAATGAAATTTCGAACTTTGTCTTTTTTGATGATGAAATTTGAAGTTGACCCCTTTAGTTTTATAAAAACTAAAAGAACACCTTTAAGTTTTAAAATTTATAAGAGAAAGACCCTAAAATTTCATAAATTTCAATGGGTGAGCTTGATTCGAGTTCGAGTTCAAGCTTGATTTGAGTTGTAGTTCGAGCTTGATTGGAGCTCGACTTCAAGCTTGATTCGAGCTCGACTTCGATCTTTGATTCGAGCTTAGTTCGAGCTTGAGAAATAGTTATCGAGTTCCAGTTCGAGCTTGAGAAATAGTTATCGAGTTCGAGTCGAGTTTTGATTTTTACTACTCTCGAGTTTTTGAGTCGAGTCCGAGCTTGGAAATTGGGTTTTGAGTTCGAGTCAATTAAAGTGACACTTGAGCTCGAATCGCATCATTTACACCCATATCATAAGCTGTCTATGGTGGTTCACATGGTGGTCTGTCTGGAAAAGAGGACTTCAGAATTCGGTTGAGTCAACTCTTAAAAATGACTCTTCAGACTTATACTTTAGAAATTTAATTCCAAATGGTAAGTTTGATTACTTCTACTTTGGAGCGGTCTTATAAGAATGGAAATTTAATGCACATTATAATTATGGAAAAAAACAGACCAAAGTTGTCTTATAAGTCTGGAAAACGACAAATAAGAGTTATCTTCTAACTCTGGGAAATAACTCTTACCAATTAATCAAGACCTAGAAGGGTTTAGAGTACAAAATTGACATTGCATACTTCTCAAAAGAAGGTCTCTCATTAACACTTTTGTGGTAGGCATAACGTACACAATTATGTACTAATGTAAATAATTTTCATAATAAATCAAAAAAATAAATAACAAATAAAGGGTATAACAGAATAATAGTACCAATTGAGAAATTTGTGTCCAAAACAAAATCCAACCACAAAAGACATACCAAAGACAAGAGTGAATATAGTTGTCCATCAAAATGAAGAATATCACTTTTCAAGTTTTGGAATTTTTAGAGATTTGGTTGCCGACCCTTTCCTTTCATGATCGGCATCATAAGTACCTTCAAAATCACGTTTACGATTAATACTATTACCAAGCCTTTTCTCATAGAAATTCCCTTGTGATTCCGGACTATCTGTTGTGCTCTTCTCCACATCGGAGGGTGTTGCATTCTCACCCGTACCTGAAACAACATCCTTCAAATAAGATAATAGTCACATATGTTATTTAAGAAGTACTTGCTTTCATTTAAATTTACAAATTACATTGAAGGTAGCATTTATAATACCTTTAACTTCTCTTGAGACCCGAAATTTGTTGAATGAACATTTACAGACTCGGATTCAACAGGCGGCGTAATAAATCGTAAAATAATGTTTGACTTCCAAAGATTTGAAACTAAATTGGATGAAATTTATGGCAATGATAATTATTACCTGTTGAGCAGTAAATCTCATCTCCAATTCATTCAAAATGTTATCATCATCGGTTAGTTTTGAAATACCATAAACAAAACAACTGTTTTTTATGTTGTAATCATTTACTTCGATCTTTATCGCAAATTTTTGATCACGCAAAATATCCAAATCGTCCGAAAACATATCCAAATCACCATGCTGGAAAAAAATCCAACAATTAATAAACATTTGGAAGCAAATAAAAAAATTTACAAAAAAAAGATTAAACATCCAATCATACCTCTTTAATTTTTTAATATAGTTCTGTTGCAGATTGATTCAAAGCCTTGTTAGCTTCCCTATCAAACAACGTCAATGATACAATTCCAGTATCATCTTGAACTCTCAAAGGAATTCTGAACCTATATGATTATTATGTCGATATTAATATAAGAATATAAAAGATACAAAAAAGTACTATAATGTAGTTCTAACTTTGGCAAAACATCAGTTTTTTGCCCCCTGCATCTATCAGAATTACATTCAAACTTTTTCATTTCTACAACCATACCTGATCCATCATCTTTATCTGTTATAGTGTACGTGGGTCGAACCTTTGTGTTACACCTTTTGCAACCCATGTAAAACCAAGGAATGTCTTTTCTAAACGCTTTAACTTTTCCTAAGATAATTAGTGACTTCGCCTGTATAAAGTAGGATATATTATGATAAAATGCAATCATTGAATGTATAAAAACCATATTAAAAATAAGTACCTCAACAGTTTCACTAATTTCAACAATATTTGGTTTACTGGTTTTATCTAGAAAATCTTCACGATATGAATAAGACAATCCAGAGAGCATTAAAAGCTATTGTGACGATTTAGATTCGCCACTCTCCTGAATCAAACTATTGAATTAAAAATATAATTAAACAAAAATGTATATTAAAAAAATACCAGATATATAAGAAAAAATAAAGAAAATAATGTTTGTCGACCTATTCTTAAAATCCCTGATTTAATCCAATTCAGAATTGATGAACAACGTCGTACCATTAAATGAATTAGAAAGAAATGGTTTTCTGAAAGAGAACAAATAATTGAAGTTAATACAACATTGCTTAAAAGAAATAATAATTTATGAGTGACACAAACCTCGGTAAATCTTCCCCATTGCAAAAGGAATTACAATAACAACAACCCCGTTGTCTTTGTGATTAGAAACATAATCGCTGAATTACTGAGCAAACGCATCCCACAATGTAACTTGGATTTTAAGCCCCTTAAATAAATTGTAACAAAATAATTATATAGTTTGTTGTTGGTCTCGTTAGGGTCTACAAAATATTTAGAAATAGTTTGTAGAAGGGGAGGATGAATACAAAACAATAAACTTTTCAAATTTAAAATATATATTGATAAAGAAGAATCAATACAGATTATACAAGATTGTATGCAGAATAAGATAAGGTAAAGATAACCTATCTAAACAATCTAAGTTACACACAAGTGATCTTAGCAAAGAGAAAACATTTGTTGTTTAAGACTAAGAAGAAAATGAGTTTTGGGCAAGAACTATTTAGAATATTTGAAAAGGGATTCTAACTTGCTTTGAAGATAAGCGAATGTGCTCTTAGATGTGTGTGCGTTCTTTCACGTATGCATGTAAGAATTAGATATCTCTGCATGGAGATAGCACACATCTATTTATACCCATTGCATTAAATGCAAATTTAATGCAATGCAGTAGGGTTTGAACATGAGTCAAGCCTTTAGAGATAGACTTGTCCTTTGCTACAGTGAATAGTACAAAAATCTATTCATGAGCAGACATCCTTTCATGGAGTTGGTGGATAGTAACGTCAACTAATCGGCTCCATACCGAACTATACTCTAGAAAGGTGCTCATCGATTTATTAACCTTAGATTTCAACACAAAATTAGAACTCGGCGCAAGTATACACCTTGAACTACTGTCGTCTCATAATAAGTAATAATGGTAAAGTACCAGATATCGTTCCCACAGAGATAACTTGTAAAGTTATTTCAAAAGTCCAGTATATAAAAACTAGTTTCAGAAGGTGAAACGAGGGATTTGATTTATCTAAAATTGGGAGCTTTGATTAACAACTAATAAATATCAATCTTAAAAAGAAGCACAAGGTGCAAAAGTTGATTAAGACACTAAACAAATGATTCAGCAAAAAGGTGACATAGCATTCTTGTCACAACTATCTAAAATCAATAATGATTTTATATAACTGTCACAGTATCAACTATCGGGTCAGACGGCCTCCCAAGAGCACACACGAGTCAACGTGTTATCGATACGATATCATTTATGTTAGATGTCGTGAATCCTAGCACAACACAGTGTTACCATCTGTGGCATCCGTCATTTTTGGGCGTCAGGTTAGCACCTTATAGGATTTTTTTAAAATTAAGAATTATATTAGAATCTAGTCATGTTGATTAGTATTCATCTGACTTAGTTCCCAAAATATAGTTCAGAAAATCCTATTTCGATGGGTAACTGATAAAGTTAACTTATGTAATGCCAAATTCATTAAAATCCTCCAAACAAAATAAAGTTGATATTATAAAAGTCCAAATTAAATTATAAAAAGTTATATTTGAATGTCTAAATAATTTTACAAAAATTTGGAATTTTAACCTAATACTGATATTTTATCAGTGTTTGTCAATTATATTTATGTTTTTCTTTAATTGAGCCTTATTTTAATAAAAAAAATAAAAAAAATAAACAAGTATGGATTTGGGCTCTAATAAGGCCAGCCCATTTCCTTTCTTTAAACCTACATATAAATACCCCACATTCTTTGAAAACTCCCATTTTTCATCCTCATTTTGCATAAATCTTTCATCTCCGTAACCTCTCTCTCTCTAAACCATACCCCTCCAGCTGATTTCATCTTCAAGCATCATTAAAAGTCTGTCAATCTTAAAGAATATTCAACATTTCAAGCAAAGGTAATAGACTAGTTGTCTTACCTTTGTATAATAACAAAGATTCTCATTTTCTACACCTACTTCTTGTTTTTGTAAATAAATATTCTGGACAATTCAAAAGGGGAGATTATACATCAAAGACATGAAAATGTCTTCAAAATGATGATAATCTATGATCCACAAACTTAGAACTCTAAGAAAGTAGGATAAAACCACATTGCATGTGGAATTTAATCATTAAAAGATGTATTTTGAAAACTGATAGATTCTGTTAGCACTTGTGTCGACTTTATCTTTCAAAATAAAAGTCCAAATATTCTGATTTTTCTTCTAAAACGTACTTTAATGAGTTATCTTTCTAATGCAACTGGTCTCACTCAAAAATATTACGTTTTGAGCCTTCAAGTTCTTGATACAAGAGTATGGTGCAAAAAGAGCAATGCTGACAGAATCTTGCATGCATTTTAAAACAGTTATATCTTATTCAAAACTCAATGAAAATGAGTGATTCTTTTTCTGTAAGTTGGCCTTATGTGTTAGCTTTAAAATAAAGTTAAAATCACTGGAAAAATGATGACTTTAGACCCCACAAATGGCCATAACTTGAAGAGTGTGCAATCTGTCTTGGGGACTGTGTCACTCAAAGTTATAGGGTATTAATGAGTGCCTTAAACCCATCCAAAATTATTGATATTCGAGAAAAATTTGTTTAACTCATTACAATTGATGATATAAAAATTTGGACTCAAAAAGAGTTCTGGAAGGTTCCTTTTGACAGTGATTTGTGAGACCAAAAATTCCAGATTTAAAATTCTTTTTCTGGGATTTATTTTATGTCCTAGTGTTTCTTCCTATGTTGAAGACTTGGGTATAAATATTGGACTATTTCAAAGAGCAAATGATATTAGTATCAACTTTAAATCATGAAAACTCAATGGCATTACATAAGATATACTTAACTTTATCTTTATCAAGAACCTATAGGTAATATAATTTCTGGATGTTGGATTGTTTAGGAAAGTCTAGGGTGAACGATTAGAGCTTCAAGCATTGTCAAGCTCTTGGATATTCAAAAGAGCAAACTAGTGAGTATTCACGGCCCCACTTTTAATGTTTTTTGTTTATTTAAACTGGGGGAAAAGCATGAAGTTATGCAAACTATACTGTTTATTTATAAAACTGTTGGACTAAAGAACTACTTAGTCAAGATTTGTTTATGTCATGAAATATTGACTGTTTTGCACTATGATATAAATGATAAATTGATGTACTTGAGAGTATATTTTCAAATAAAGTCCCCTTCCATAAACGCTACTTGATAAATCAGGCATATCCCCGAGCCGTGGTATTTGTAGATAGCCGCTATTGTGTTAACAGTCCCACCAACAAAGGGGTGCATATTACCTACGTTTTATTAGTCTAATCATGTGGAATTTGGACCACCGCTGAATTAGTACTGCTACGAACTGTGGGACCTAAAGGAGTATACGGGCTACTTATGGTCGTTCCTAAAATAATGGGGCACATTGGTCAGGAAAGGCTCAGTAGCGTCTCAATTTCTTAACGTCGTTATAGATTTACATTTATTATGTGCAAAAGTTATGTATAAGTTTGCAAGAAATGATTTATGCATTGTAATGTTTTGTGCATATGAAAACTTGTGAACTCACCAACTCTTTGTAGTTGACGTTGTTTTATGTTTCATGCTTTTCAGGAAATAAGTAAAGAAGTGAAGTTTTTGGAGCATATATGTGACGACACCGATTAAGTTCATTTTGAAACTTTTGTAAAGAATTATTCTATTCCAACTTGGTTATGGATGTTAAATTCGATTTTTTGTAAAACTTGAATGGTGTTATTTAATACCTGCTGCTGTGACTCGCTTACCTGTTACATCTTGTGTTTTCGCTTTAACGGGGTGTGACATATTTGGTATTAGAGTCTCAGTTATAGAGAACACCAGTTTTTTCTTAAAAACCGCAAAATATAACCAAATATTTTCAAAATAGTTTTCAAGCAATTTAAGTAAATAAATAAATAAATATATATATATATATATATATATACAAAGCGGGTCACATTATTATATGTCAATTAAACAAAGCCTGATCACCTATGTTTAATTTACATATAATAGAAAACTTAACCGGTTGTATTAAAAATATGCTCCAATTAAGAAATTGTTGTGAAAAGCATGATTTTGTGTGTGTTTGCATAAATTTTGAATATCCATCGCCCTAGACGAACTAGAAGTGCTGGTTAGAAGGACCAGAGGCGATGGACTGGAAATTCCTCATATTACTAAGAGTCCATGTTAAACCATACGCGCTGGTTAGAAGGACCAGAGGCGATGGACTAGAAATTCCTAATATTGCTAAGTGTCCATGTTGAACCAGAAGCGCTGGTTAGAAGGACCAGAGGCGATGGACTAGAAATTCCTCATATTGCTAAGTGTCCATGTTGAACCTGAAGCGCTGGTTAGAAGGATCAGAGGCGATGGACTAGAAATTCCTCATATTGCTAAGTGTCCATGTTGAACCAGAAGCGCTGGTTAGAAGGACCAGAAGCGACGGACTAGAAATTCCTCATATTGTTAAGTGTCCATGTTGAACCAGAAGCGCTGGTTAGAAGGACCAGAGGCGATGGAATAGAAATTCCTTATATTGTTAAGTGTTCATGTTGAACCAGAAGCGCTGGTTAGAAGGACCAGAGGCGATGGACTAGAAATTCCTCATATTGCTAAGTGTCCAAGTTGAACCAGAATCGCTGGTTAGAAGGACCAGAGGCGATGAATTAGAAATCCCTTATATCGCTAAGCATGAATGAGAAACCAGAGGTCGATGGACCAGAGATCCATTGGGCTGCAAAGTGTGAGGAACCAGAGGACCGATGGACGAGTCATCCATTATTTTTCTAAGTATGGATGTTGAACCAACGACCAATGAATTAGAATTCCATTGGTTTGCTAAGTATGTATGTGGAACCAGAGGACCGATGGACGAGTCATCCATTATTTTTCCAAGTATGGATGTTGAACCAGCGGCCAATGAATTTGAATTCCATTGGTTTGCTAAGTATGTATGTGGAACCAGAGGTCCGATGGACGAGTCATCCATTATTTTTCTGAGTATGGATGTTGAACCAGCGACCGATGACTTAGAATTCCATTGGTTTGCTAAGTATGTATGTGGAACCAGAGGACCG